ACAGATGTTACAGATGCTCTTTGATTTGATTTGAACCAGTTTACGGTTCATCTCGTCCTGTTTTGCTTCTTCAGTGGAGAGAGAACTTTCCTTCACATAGAAACAGAAACAAATCGATTTAAACGTGTTTTCATTAAATTAATTTCATTAAACAACGTACTGAGGTCGACGTGAAGTCGGCGAGCAGCAGCGACGGACCGCGTGGATCAGCTGGAGACAAACGGCACCGAGAACATTTACATCTTTTATTTACAGACGAGTTTATTGAGAAAGCCTTTCAGTACGATTGATACACATTGATTATAGATTGTTACGAACCGAACAATTCATCGTACACAAGGAATCACAAACGCTGACCACATCTGATCTCAGGAAATCAACAGCTTCATAAATACGTGTTGTAATGAGAGTCGGACACGTTAAACCGTCAATAATTATTAAATATATATATTAAATCTTTAATTCAGGTGTTTATATTCAGGAAGAACGGACTCTTGTGTTACAGCAGATTGTACCAGAGGGTCAAAGTGTTACATTTATCATATCTGTGGCACATCTCTACACTAAAACAACAGCGTGGGAAGAATCAGCAGCAGCCCCGTCGCTCTGTACGCGACGCTTCCTGCCATCCAACATCAAATAAAGGTTTTTATAAACTACAACAAGGTGTAATTGCTGTGGTTTACTTTCTTTTTCTCAACCTGACGTTTGTCCTCAAACCTCAACAGGATGCTCGAAGTAGAAAGCTTTAAACGCTGCCAGATCAAACTCTAAATAATATCTATACCTTCATATACGTCAGGGTGACGGTCTCCTCTTCAGCAGAACCTTTGATAACGTATTGTGTACGTGTAAATCCGTCTGCTGCCGTCACACGACCCGTTTATGTAAGAGTCCTTCAACTGTACAAACAAACCTGCAGCTTCACGCGGCTTCATTATTTACTCCAACACTGTTTCATAACAAACTTCTCTGGTTTCTGTTTCAGTGTTTCACTGGCAAGCCACAATCATGGGACCTGTAAGTATTCACCTGTCCACACCGATCCTTCCGCTTTTATGTTTTCCCCTCCCGTACTCCTGACTTTGAGCTCTTCTCTTAACTTGCCGTCACTAAAGAGTTTCTCTCCCTGCGTTAGAATGACAGTCCTTACCAGAGCGGGGTTTTCTTCCTGACCATACACTTCCCCACAGACTACCCCTTCAAACCGCCAAAGGTAAGGAACACAACACAACACAGTAACAGAGAGACACTAAAACATGCCACAGCTTTTTATCATTCAGTTTCCTGTTGTTCCTCTCACCTGCCCTCCCCCCTCTCTCTCTCTCTC